ACAGATCTTTGTTGGAAGAAAGAAAGTACAACCAGAATGCTCCTTAGTAGCCAAGATGGTCAGACTCTGTCTCTCATACTTCAGACATGTTATCAGGATGAATCAGTTCCTGGAGTAGGATACCATGCTTGGTAGAGTGGGGGTGTTAGTGAAAAAGAGGGAGCCCCCACTGAGACTGGCATCGTGGTAGCAGAAATTGTGAGAATGGCGCAGGACCAGATGGTGTTTTGTTCTGTTGTAATTGGGTCACTATGAGTCAGAACCAGATTAGGCAAGCTTCTTTAATAAAGACTTACAGCCTTGTAAATACTGGGACAATTCTACTCTGTCCTATATCGTCACTATGAGTCAGATATGACTTGATAGCAACGAGTTTTTGTTTTGTTTTTGGAATGCAGAGTCAAATCCAATCGCATCTAAAAAGCAACATAAGTTATTGACTTTCTAAGAAGTATTCTAGACTGATTTATTTGGTCTTTCACACTTTATACTAGCTCTAAGTTGTAGTCTAGGGTTTCTAACTGTTAAAAAAAGTCATAGCAAAGGTGAACATATCTTAATATACAGCTTTTTTTTTTTTTTTTTTTCTTTTTTAAACAAACTGTTACTGTAGGATAAAGAACTGGACAAGGTTGGTTTAAACTGCAAGGTCAGTTCGAACCGCACAGTTGTCAGTTCGAACCACACAGTTGGCAGTTTAAGCTCACCAGCCGCTCCTCTGAAACCCTATACACATTATGAATTGTAAACAACTTGATATTACTTAATGACAACATGGGATCATTTTTGAACCTCAGTGATCCCAATTAACTGAGTATAACTTCCATATAGGGTGTTCTTGGCTGAAATGTTTATGGAAGCAGATCAATGGGTCTGTCTCCCATACAGCCTCTGAGTAAGTTCAAACTGCTAACTTTTCAGTTGCTAGCTAAGAAATTAACTGTTTGTGTCACCAGGGCTCTGTTTCTACAAACTACTCAATTTAAATTAGATATTTCATAAAGGCAGTATCATTAATGATGGTTTACATTAGAGATGACCTGTAAAATAAAAAACTTTAAAAACTATTAATGAAAAAAAAAAATTTCTCTCCATATTAGAGGCCTATCCTAAAAAGGAGCTCTGGTAGTGTAGTGGTTATTAATCAGGCTGCGAACCTCAAAGTCAGTCAGCAGTTCGAAACTACCAGCTGTTCCGTGGGAGAAAGATGAGGCTTTCTGCTACCATAAAGATTTACAGCCTATATAGGGTCGCTATGAGTCAGAAGTGACTCCACGGCACACTACCATCACCACTATCCTAAAATGGGATCCAGTTCATAGACCATAATTCAAAATTGAGTGCTAATTTTATTTTTCGTAAAGTTTCCGGTTTTGTAACTTAGAAACAAATATATCCACAGTTAAAACATGTTTCTAATTTATACTATGGTATTGTTAAGTGCTGTCATGTCAGTTCCAACACATAGCAACCCTGTAAAGGGTTTCCGAGGCTGGATATAAATCTTTACGGGAGCAGAAAGCCTCATCTTTCTCTCAAGGATTGGCTAGTGGGCTCAAACCTTGTGGTTTGCAGTCCAGTGCTTATGCTCCAGAGCCACCATGCTCCAATTTATATTATAATCACAGGAACTATATAACTTTATGGTCCTGTGGGTTAGACTGGAAACTACAAAGTCAGCTGTTCAAACCCACCAGTCATTCAGTGGGAGAAAGTTGTCTTTTTCCATAAAGATTTATCGTTTCAGAAACCCAATGAGTCACTATGAGTTGGAAAGGACTTGATGTCAGGGGCTTGGTTTTGCTTTATTCTTATTAAGGCAAACAAAACCCAGCTATGTGGGTAAACCTATTATTTTTATCTGCATTACTGTGTAGGGTAAGGCACCATTTCCTTCTAACAAAGTTAGAAATTATGACAGTGCTGAATATGAGCCCTGGTTGCACAATGATTAAGTGGTCAGCTACTACCCACCCACAGCTGCACAAGAGAGACCTGGTGATCTGCTCCTTTAAAGACTGTTGTGTACCATCGAGTGGGTTCTGATTCATAGTAACCCTGTATAAGGATTGCGAGGCTACAGGGTCTCCAAGGCTATAATTCATTCTCCCTTGGAGCAGCTGGTGGATTGGAACTGCTGACCTTGTGGGTAGCAGCCCAACAAATAACCACTATGCTATCAATGCTCCCCTGTAAACATTATGCCCAAGAATACCCTATGGGGAGTTCTGCTCTGTCTTGTAACATTTCTGTGAATCTACAGTTGATGTGACAGCATCCAACAGCAGCAGCAACATAGAGGCTTTGATAATCTGCAGATATTTGCTCTTCTAAAGACTAAGTCCAAAGGAGCTTTGGTAGCGTAGTGGTTATGAATTGGGCTGCGAACCTTAAGGTCAGCGGTTCGAAACTACCAGCCTCTCCGCGGGAGAAAGATGAGACTTTCTACTCCCGTAAAGATTTACACCCTCGGAAACCCTGTACAGGGTCGCTATGGGTCAGAATCCACTCGATGGCACTTAACAACAACAACAAAGACTAAGTGAGTCCAAAAGTTAATTTTTACTTCTTGACATGTTGTAGCTCCTATGATTTATTTATAATGCAGTTTAAGAACATTAAGAAAAAGATCTTCAACATGCTTCCCTATCTTAGGTCACTGTCCTTAAAAATAGGCTAAAATAACTCAGTGGTTTTCATTTAGTAATTTAGAAAAATCTCCTCATCTAGTGATATTTCTTATTATGTATGTCAATAAAAATAAAAGACTAATCGGTTTTCCAGCCATTGATTTAAATTTGTCAAAATCTGTATGTGCACCGGGGTTTTAACTTCATGAAATATGCAGAATTTTAAGTGTCACCTATTTAAAATTTTTGAAAGATCAGATTCTAACGCATAATCCCAGCTGCTTCTGGGAGCTTATGTTCTTTGTACCACATCTTTGTTGTACTCACAAGAAAAACCTCCTGAAGCTCTTCCTGTATTCTAATTTAGACTTGGTCATCTGAGAACCAAGTTAAAAAAAAAAAGCAAAAAATATGTTGTTGTTTCTGTAAATTCACCAGCTTTGGTAAATTCATGGAATGCAGTTTTTCCTTTCTTTCAGAAATGGCTAGAAAATAATGTAACTAAATCTTAAGTGAAACTGGAATGTTATGACAATATAAAAAATTAAATTAATAAGCAAACAAGAAATACTGATCTTGGTATTTTGTACAGAACTTTTTAAAAACCTCTAAAAGTGGGTAAGCAAATCAAAAAAACCCTAAGAACTTTGAGATGCATCTGGAAAGATGGTAAAGTCTTTGAAACTAAATACTTCCTTGACTACTGAGCATACCAAACTACTAGAAGCACATGAAATTTTTTAGGGAATAATTCCAGTTCTGCAGGTTTGGGAGAGGCAGATAAATTGAAGAGGAAAGGTTAAGATAAGCACAGCACTGAATCTAACACAGAGACTGAATCTGTAATAGAACTCGGGGAGGGGGGAGTGGTATAAGTTAAGAATATGGGAGCATTGGGAGAGAAGGTACTAAAACTATCAGACTCTACTTGAGTCCTCCTATCAAACCAATTGCAATAAAGGGCAACTTAATCTCAAACTTTGGACACATTGTCCGGAGAGAACAGTCGCTGGAGAAGGATGTCCTGCTGGGTAAGGTGGAGGGTCAGAGAAAAAGAGGAAGACCCCCAACGAGATGGATCAGCCAGGTGGAATCATTGATGGCGTCAAGTGTGGCAGCAGTAGTGAGGTTGGCCCAGGATCGGACATTGTTTCATTCTGCTGTGCATGGGGTCGCTATGAGTCGATTCCGACTCGATGGCACCTGACAACAACAACAATCTTTTAGAAGAGAAAAAATTGGGGCATGAAAAACACTTGATGGCCAAGATGAAGATTCTGTATTTGGAAATGAGATGACATATGAACATATATTTTAATTGTACATTTTCATTATGCTTTTTTTTAATTATCAAAGGGGTAGTCCTATCAGCACTGTATTATAGCTGACTTAACATAATATTTTCAGTTCCACTTTTCTATAGAGAGATAAAAGGCTATGTACTACTACCCTTTTAGTATAATATCTCCAGTAAAGCCTCTGTTGATTTTTTTCCTTTGGATTTTAAATTAAATTAAATTTAAATTTAAATACAAATGATTGCAATTTAATGCTTTATCCATCAATTAAAAATGGGGTTCTCCTTGGCATTAACAAAAAAAAATTCATTTGAATTGAAATTAACGTTCTACATTTCAATGAAAGACATATTTAACTTCAAAATCAGGCTCTCAACTACCCTTTGCTAAGAATATTTGCTCTAACATTTTACTTCTGGATAAGCACTGGAATGCTAAGTCAGTGTGGTTCAAACCTACCAGCCATTCCTCAGGAACCCTTAGAGTCACGGAGTCAGAACCAACTTTAAGCATTTAACAACAGTTTACTACATAAATAGATAGTCTCCTATTTTGCTTTGGGCCAGTGTATGAAAAATAAGGCTGTTGGACCACCACTGGACTGTGAATCACAAAGTCAGCAGTTCAAACTCACCAGTTGCTCCTTGGAAACTCTATCTGGGGCCGCAATGAGTTGGAATTGACTCAATGGCACTTAACAACAACAACAAAAAACTAGACATTAAACAAAAGTTATGGATACTGATTTAAAATTGCTGTCATTCTGCAATAAGAGAATACTCTTTCAAGGCCATAAATTCTCAAATATAGCTTGAGTTGCTAAAATCCACATTATGTGAAAATACAAGGAGTAGTATGATAAGCAGCAAATGTAGTAAAAAAAAATCAAAAATAATTTTTAATAAAAGTATGCATCCTAAAAGTGATAAAAGTCCTCAATTCTCACTTCTGTTCTACGAGATGACTTACAAAATATTAAATTCTAGTTTCAAACCTAGGCATGAATAGGAAAGAATCAACCACACTAAACAAGTCCCCCCCCCCCAAATAATTCAAGTACAATATAAATTACCTCTGTGTTAATATCATGATACTGAGTTGAAGTTGCCCCACACTTGAGTCTGAGTTTTGCTATCAGTTGTTCAAAGTCGTTAACTTCAGTGAAGCGAAAAGCTGTTTTACCTTTGATGCTAATGATGACAGATTTGCTGGAATCATTTGTCTTATCTATAGCTAAGACCTGGTGGTAAAAAACATAAATAAATGAACCAAGTTTTCCCCCTATTGCTGATAACTTCAGGCAAAATGGCTAGTGTTTTGTGGCTAAAAGTTTTGGTCTGTGATCTGTTAAGTACTACGTTTTGGATGCTAGTTATACTGCTGATAGAAAAGTAACCTCGGTGTAAGTTATTTTTCTTTTCAATAGAAAGGTTTAACTAACACGTAGCTTTTTAAAAATGATAGAGGGGGCTTCAAAATGTTCATAGAAAAATACCATTATTTTTTAATTCCATTTTCCCCATAACTTTTTTGAAGCCCCCTCATACAGTTATAATTCAGAACTATAATACTGACAACTTGTTTCTGACCCACACAAAAGTTACTGATTCTATTCTTTTTGACCATCAAATATGATCATCTGACTTTTGATATTCATGGCACAAATGAGCGATCACATTCCATTGTGGGTCATTCTAGCACTTAATTTGTTTTCAAAGTTAGTGTTTTTCCATTGTGGGTCATTCTAGCACTTAATTTGTTTTCAAAGTTAGTGTTTTTCCATTGTGGGTCATTCTAGCACTTAATTTGTTTTCAAAGTTAGTGTTTTTTTTTTTGTTTGTTTGTTTGTTTTTACTGTCACTTTTGATAAGAACATCTCAAAAGCTAGTACTCTTACCTGGAAGAAAAGCACTGAACTTAAAAAGTCACTTTAAAGTTACCAAAAATGATACTGCATATTGAATTTTTAGTAATTTAGAGAATTAAAGATAGTTTTAACCTGTGAATGATAACATTTTTAAACCAAATGCTGATACATAACCAAATTTATATTACCTCTCGTAATGGGATGATTACACTACATAGATTGCCATCCTGGCTAGCAAAGCAGATAAAGTTTTCTGAAATGCACATTTTCCCATGAGTATTGAAGTGGCTAAATGGCACCCATAAGAAACATTCATGTACTTCTTTCAAAGTCTCTTCTTTGGGCAGCCTAAAAAAAGCATTAAATTGCTCACTGTGTGCCCGATTTTCCAGACCTCTGCAGAAAAAAAAAGAAAAGACGGAGGGCCTCAAATGATGAATTCTAGTGTATAGACGCCTACATTGACTAATCTAAATGCATTGTAAACCAGATAGATTAAATATTAAATGCTATGCTCTTCAACAAATTATAGAATGGAAGAAACATGCCAATCCCTAACAAATTCATTCTGCTTATTATTTCCAGTTTCATTTTATTAAGGTTAAAATGCACACAAGTTAGAGAAGACGTTGATCTTAAAACCATCTGCTAAGGGATAATTTGCTGGAAGGTCACTATGATTATTATTATAGCCTCATAAAATGTGAATATGGCTAAAACCAATTTTGGCAGAAAATAATTATCCTATCAGGTTATCAGAAAATCAACAGAATTATTCAATTCAATAAAATAAAGTTATGAAAATATATGGCATCAAAGTTCAGAAGGGAATAGTCCATAAAAGAGAAAATTAAAATGAAGTGAAACATACCCAAAACATACCCAAAACAGAAGCTTGATATAACAACACTGCTTCACAGTGTTGGGTACAGAATGTAAGTGTTGATAAATATAGATGACTTATTGACTGATACATAAATATACAAATAAAAAAGCAACTGCTTAAAACAGTACTATTGTTAGGGGCACTAAACACATGTGTGCAGGGGTCCTGGTATGGCGCTGTGGGTTAATACACCAGACTGCAAAGCCATTTAAACTGCAAGGTTGGTGGTTCAAACTCACCAGCTGCTCCTCACCAACTGCTCAACTCATAGAGAGTTGCTATGGTTTGGAACTGACTTGAATGCACTTAACAACAACAAACACATGTGCTAAACAGCAATGCCATCTTGGGTAATATACAGATTATGCAAGTCCTCACTAAAATTCAACAAGGTTAAATCTAAAGCCATCCTTCCTGTACATATTATTTGAATATGTGATATTCCATCATGTCTTTCAAAACATTTCTGATCAATACAAACCTCACTTAAATTACAATTTGGTGAGTTATTTCACATTGTTCAAAAAGATAAGGCCCATTTATACAAAGAGATACACTACATAATATTGCAAGTAAAAATAATCAGATTGTAAAAGAGTACATGTTGTTTACACCCATTCTTGTTTTTTGCAAACATTTAAAAATCCATGCACTAAAAAGCTTGGAAGGACATACATGAGACTTAACTGTGGTCATTATGCATCTGTAATTCTTCGAATTGGAGTCCTATTGACACACTTGGCTGCTAACCAAAAGGTCAATGGCTTGAACTCATCAGCTGCACAGCAGGATAAAGATGTGGCAGGCAGTCAGCTTCCTTAAAGATTACAGCCCAGGGAACTCTATGGATCCGTTCTACCCTGCCCTATTGGGTTGCTATTAGTCAAATTTGACTCACTGTCAGTGAGTTTGGTTTTGTAATTATTTAAATTATAGAAGTAATAATACATGCTTGTAGAAACAGCAGAAATAGTAAAGAAATTCCATTTTAGGAAAAAGTCATTTGGAATCATTAGTCTCCAAAAACATCCTTTCTAATGTGCTAGAAAAAAGAATTCAAATGATTTTCAATAGGCTCGCTTGAAAATGCATAGAGACAAAATTGATTTACTATATATCTCATTTAAAGGCAGACTTGAAAATCAAAACCAAACCCAGCCCACTGTCATCAAGTTGATTCCTCTAGATTAGAGTGGAGTTCTGGTGTGGTGCTGCTGTAGGATAATCCACTGAACCTTGAGGTTCAAGTTCACCAGCTGCTCCTCGGAAACCCTATACAGGCTCGCTATGAATCGGAACTGACTTGGCAACACTTAACAACAACAGAGCAGAGTACAACTGCCCCATAGAGTCATAGTGACCCTTCAGAGGGTTTCTGAGACTATAAATCCTTATGGGAGTGGAAAGCCTCATTTTTCTCCTGTGGAGCAGCTGTTGGTTTGAACTACTGACTGGGGTTAACAGTCCAGTGCTTCTTCTACAACGCCACCAGATTTATTCAATACATGGAAAAATAATGGTTCAGAAAGACTCTAATCATATGTTTATTGTGGCCAATCAAGGAACAAATAAAAAAACTAATGTCCAGCTAGGAATATAACAAAAGCCAAAATTTTATTATTTTTTACTTTTATAAAACGTTTTATTGTTAAAATAGTGGGTACAGACAGATACTTAATCCAAAAGTATCTTGTATCTGAATTACTCTCATTGCCTCCCCTCACTTGAATGTAACGCTCACAAGGGGTTAGGTCTCTTTGATTAACATTTAGCACTTGGTACATAGTAGGCACTCTTCTCGGTGAATTAATGAAAACAGAAACACTATGGGTAGAGTGAATACATTAATATGCTTGAGGGATCTGGGAGAAAGGAAATGACATTACTCTATCTTAAATTTCTTTATGTAGTTGGAGAAATGAAACCACGAAATAGGTAAGAGACTTATCCAAGGTCATATAAAAGAACCAAGAATACAAATCCTAGCCTCCTGGGTTTTCAATGAAGCAACATTTTCACTAAGTAACATTTCTAACCCCCTCTACCCAGCCCCACACTGACCCACCCATAACCTCCTTCTGCTGGATGCTAATACTCAGGGATTCTGTCACAAGGAGACATCATTTGTGACTTTTTAGAAATTGTAGTTTGGGTGACGGTTTGCAGGGCATTATTAGCTTTCTGTTCAACACCTTATACACATACACATTTTATTTCATGATATTGGCTGCAATCCCCTCAACATTGAGCACCACTCTTCCTTCTTCCTCCCTGGGTTCTTTCTTGCCCCTTCCTGCCTTCTGAACTTTGCAAAAACAGAATTCTTAATCTTCATAGGTTTTTGTTGTTGTAGTTAAGTGCCATCAAGTTAGTTCTGACTCACAGCAACTCTATATAGGGTTTCCAAGGAGGGTTTGAACTGCCAACTTTGCAGTTAGTGCTTTTCCTACAGCACCACACCAAGTATAAGATTTTATTTATAAATCATGTATTGTTGTTGTTGTTAAGTTTCACCAAGTCAATTTTGACCCATAGTGACCCTGTATAGGATTTCCAAGGAGCAGCTGGTGAGCCTGAACCACCAACCTTGCAGTTCAAATGACTTTGCAGTCTGACGCATTAGCCCACAGAGCCACATCAGGACTCCATAGATCATGTATACTGGAACATAATTTTGGTTGTTGTTGTTGTTAAGTGCCGTGGAGTCGATTACAACTCATAGCAACCCTGTGTAGGGTTTCTGAGGAGCAGTTGGCAAGCTTGAACCATCGACCTTGCGATTCAAACCGACTTTGCAGTCCAGAGCATTAACCCACAGCACCACGCCAGGACTCCTCCACACTGGGCTGCTAGCTCCTTGGAAACCCTATATAGGATTGCTAAGAATTGGAACTGACTCGACAGCACTTAACAATAACAACATAGTCATCACACAACTCTCCAGAATACTTTTGATGGTTTAACCATAGAATTGCAGCCGAGTACTTTCCTCTTGTACTTTCCCATACCACCTATACTGTTTCTCCTTGACAGAAACTGTTTCACTATTTACAGAACCTCTTCTGTTCCTCTACTCTTTGGAATGCTAATTTCAGGCAACTATTTTGAATACTGAACAGGATCAAAGGATTCGGTTCAGTTTCGAAAAACCAACCAATTATAGTAACAAATAGCTATCACACAGATACTTCTGATGTAGGCACTGTTGTTGCTATTAAATGCCATCAAGTTGGTTCTGACTCATAGTGACCCTGCATAGAGTTACCAAGGAGCAGCTGGTGAGTTGGAACCACCAACTTGCTGTTCAAACCGACCTTGAGGTCCAGTGCTTTATCCTACATCGTCACACCAGGATATAGGCACTAATAATGATTAAACACTTATTCACTGCTTTATATTTTATAACATGCTTGCACACATATTATATTACTCATTCCTCACAAGTGCCCTCTGAGGTAGACATGTCAGATGAGAAACTAAGGTCTTGAGAGATCATCACTTGTCCAAGAGTTGCTCTACTCATTCTAAAGTCCATAATCCACTGACACTACACTAACTTGCCTAATTCATAAAAAATTGTGTTGTGTAAATGCTTTGGAGTCCTGATGTGATGCTGTAGAATAAGCACTGGACCACAAGGTTGGTTTGAACCATAAGGTCGGAGGTTCAAAAGTTACCAGCTGTTCCTCAGAAACCCTATACAGGGTCTCTGTGAGTTGGAATGGACTCAATGGCACTTAGTAACAATAACATGGGTAAATTCTTTTTAAAAATACATGACAATATATTTAAAAATTTTAGACCTGAAACTATCTAAACTACTCAGAGAGAAACTTAGAGTTAGACTAAACACACACACACACACACACACACACACACAGACACACATATCCTTACATTTCTAATAATATTCCACTGCAAATCTTACCTGAATCTCCAGAAAAAATTCCAAACTTACCTTCTAGCATTTCTTAGGATTACATTTCATGAACAGTGGATTATTATTTGTGAAATGCATTTGAATAAGCATACAGAAAATGCACAGAGGATGAATACCTCCAAAGAAAAACTATCACATCACGAAGAATCGTTATTATTTTAATGGTACTCAAGCCCATCATTCTTATGATCAAACTATAAAAGTATGTATTTAACTAAGCTTTGATACCTTTTGGTGATTTGTAGAGGATCATCAAGGATTGGGTCATTATCAAATGTTTCCTTGTCAAAAATTCTCTTTATAGCATAGTTAGCCAGCTGTTCCATAAGAAGGTATGTTTGGTTAATGTGCAAAAACATTGAAAAGTAGTGATCCTCCCCATGGGAACACACATGAATACTCTCTGTCAGTATGACATTGGAAGTCTTTTCAAGTTTTGAAACTGCATCCCAGGATATAACAAGTTTTACTGCAGATAGAGCAATAAAGAGGTATGATTAACTTTCTCTATTGATACATGCTAATTAATCAGGTCTTTTGGGACAATGGTTAATCACCTAAAAAAAAAAAAAAAAGCTACAAATGGCTAAAATACCTTGGCGATCATGATTGGTTAGAATGTTAGAGCACAGCCATAAATATGTAATAACTTGTAATTCTTCGAAATAATTTAAAAGGCATTTTTAAAACTAGTCTGAATTGACATTTAAATCTGCTTCTTTACATAATTACACAGAAAATAACTTTTTGATAACCACCGATCAAAAACTATATGCACTATAAACAATACTGCTTGATTCTTCTTTTGGCTAAACTATTATATATTGAACATTATAGTACTATGGCTATTATAATTGGGCAGTTTATTTAAAACAAGGATATAAGCAATTAGGCAGTTTAGAACAAGAGGCTGAAAGCAGTTGTATGCCAGATAACCATCACTATTCAATATTTATTCACTTCCCATAAAATACAAGATACTTTCTGCACATATTTAATGGTTTCTATGCTAAACAAGCAGTCTTAGAAGGGCTCTCTACATGAAGTGAACTTTTTAATGTACAATTTAATTACTTTTAATATTGATCCCATTGCTTTATGTGCAACAACCACCACCACAGAGTTGATAGGTCAGTAAACAAGTTCAATGTCATGATGAACAATAGAAAACACTTACTTTCTGATCCCAACAAAAAAGAATAGAAGCTCAGAAAGTTGGTGCTAAGATAGAGCCAGCCCTGACAAGGAACTCGTCCTTTCCAATAACTGCATGAGTAGTACGTCACTAACTTCTCCTGCTCTGGTAAACCAAAACATTTTTCAAATTTCAGAAGAGCTTCTCGAAATTTCTCAGGATCATCTTCTTTTGCAAAAGATTGCTTTCCCTCTTCAGCAATTAATCCCTAAAGGAGAAAAATATTTGCTGAAAACTCATTACCAACAGAAATGTATTGAAAATATTTCATTTTAAATAATCAAATACAATTGTGTATTTCTATAATGGTATATATATATATGTATATATGTGTGCACACACATTATTCTCTTCATATAAAGGTCAGAGGGTTTTCTTCAGTTTTGTAATTAAGCTTTTTCTAATACCTCAAAAGATATTATCTCAAATATAGGCACTAAGTACATCCCTCTGAATAACCTAAGGGTTCATTCAAACTCCAAATTCAAGAGATACTGAAATTAAGAACTCCTAAAAACACTTACAATGGCACCAAAGACAAACCACTGACCTGACAATTTTCCTTAGCATTGATTGTGACATTCATATACATACTTGACCAGTCCTGGAAACTTCCAGGAAAACAATGATTTGCCTGCCATTCAATCTCTGACCCTCATCAAGGATCACACAGTTTAGTATTCATTCTATCTACAAAAAATATACACGACACTTACTCTGATCTTTCCTTGTACAAAATTAGTAATATCTTCATTTGAATCGAACACAGATAAGGTCTTCATGATATTTTGTTCCAACCAATCCCAATGCTTGGTTATTTCTTCTCTGTTGGCTCCTGATTAATAACTCAAAAGAATTAGAAACTCAAGGAAAACTCTAGAGCAAAACTTTTGTAGTTTAAAGGCTTAGTTTTCAAATAAATGACATATCTGTTAATTTATTAAAATTATGACCATATAGGAAAAAAAGTAGCATATTTATTCTCGATTCATTCCTGTATATGGGTTATCAGTAGTATTTCTCATTATAAGTAGAAAGAATAAAATACTTAATGAAAGAATAAAAAACTAAATACAAATCAAGAGAAAAGACATAAAATTCTGAAAGCAAGATGCCACTAACTGGTATCTAGAGTAAACAGTATCTTTTAAGAGATTATATAGAGTACCAGGAAATACATACATGTAATTCAATCCTTGGTCTTCAAATACTCTGTGACTGAAAACAGTATGCACATGATAATCTTGTGCACACTGTGTAAAGATGTGGATTTCAACTGTGGCCATTCTATTTCAGAAAGTGTGAAGCCTATACTCAGACATTCCACGTTCTTAGTTTATCTAGTGATGCTATCACAGAAAACCTTAAACAGGTAGCTTTAACAACAGAAATTTGCTTTCTTAGAGTTTAGCAGATTAGAAGTCAGAATTCAGGGTGCCAGCTCTAAGGGAAGGCTTACTTTCTGTTGGCTCTGGAGGTAGGTCCTTGTCCCTCTGAGCTCCAAAACAATCTTTATGTGGCTTGGCATCTCTCTTCCCCCACCTTTGCTTCTCTTGCTTGCTTGTTTAATCTCACTTATATCTCAAAAGAGATGAACTCAAGAGAGAACCTACACTAAGTATGCCTCATTAACATAACAAAGACTACCCATTCCCAAATGGGTTAGTAACAATAGGCATGTTGTTGTTAAGAGCCACTGAGTTGATTCTGACTCACAGTGACCCTGTGTTGTTTGAACCACCAACACTGTGGTTAGCACTCCAGTGCTTATCCTATAGTACCACACCAGGACTCCAAACCACAAGCATAGACGTTAGGATTCACAACACCCCATTTGTTAACATACTTAATTAAGTAACAGAAATCTCATTAAGAGGGTCAGATTAAGTATTACAGGCCATTCTGGCTGCTTTGGTTTGAAAAGCAACATGTCAGTATATATCAATTCCCAACACTGTGGCTTCAAATCTCATTCAAATGAAATGTCCTGACTTCTACCTAGGTTTTATGATGTATGAAGACTGATACATGAAAACAAATTATTGACACTGAAAAACCATTTCTCATAATTCAGTTAAAATTGATGCATATTACTAAAGCCGCTAAGCCAAGTGTAATGTAATAACATTTTAAGGCCTTCATTTTGGTCTGCTAGGTATAAGGAAGCTATATTAGTAACTAACTACTATAATGTTTCTGCATCAGGTTTATTTGGGGAAAATACGTTACACAATATCCTTTAAATTTCAACAAGAATACATTGGATATTTTTCTGCAAATAATTTCTATCAACCAGATTTAGAGCTAAAGTGTATAATTCTAGTGATGGCAACAGATATAACATCTTCATTTAGTTTAAACAGCAATCAATTTAATAGGTCACTAGCAACAATAAAAAGGAGCTCTGGTAGCGTAGTGGTTACGAATTGGGCTGCTAACATCAAGGTTGGCAGTTTGAAACTACCAGCCGTTCCACGGGAGGAAGGAGAGGTTTTCCGCTCCCGTAAAGGTTTACAGCCTCGGAAACCCTGTGCAGGGTCGCCACGAGTCGGAACCAACTCTGTGGTACTTAACAACAAGCAACAATAAAAGAAATTTGAGGTAAATACATTTTTTAAAGCCACACCTTAAAAAAATGCATGCTGAATACACATACACATGTGAACTGTCTAGAAATTCACATGATTTTCTTTTCAAAGAACATCTTTATCTTAAGATAGTGGGAGAAGAGAAGAATGAAAATGATAGTCTTTCAACATTAAACTTGCAAAATTCTGGGATTCTAATGAGACCAACATTATAAATAAAAAATAAACTGTCATCTTATTTTTTAACTGCTTAATAAGGAACTGTTTTGTAAGGATATCTTAATTTCTTATCTATCCACAACATTTAAGCAGAAGCATCTGAACCACTTCAGCATGGATGAATATGTACTACTACCTACAACACATTTCTTCATGTTTCAGGGCTATCACACCTTTAGTAAGAAAGAGGGGCATGATCAAAAAAGATCTTTTCAGGCTTCTATAGTAACAGGGTCGCTATGGGTCGGAACCGACTCGACGGCACTTAACAACAACAACAACAACATAGTCATAGGAGACAACTCTTAAATTTGGCGCTCCCAGTTAGCTTCAGATTCTCATCATTAACTATTAGGGATGAAATAACAAATACCATGGGAAAGTTCCCATCTTTCTTAGCAATGGGGGGAGACAAGAAAAACAAGCTGATAAAGAGAGTCAGAAGGCAATGTTGCTGTTGTTCAGTGCCGTTGTGTCTTTCCCAACTCATAACGACACTGCATAGGGTTTCCAAGGAGTAGTTGGGTGGGTTTAAACCACCAACCTTGTGGTTCGCAGTTTGGTGCTTATCCTACGATGCCACACCAGAACATAAAGCAATAGCACTGACTAAATCTGTTCTGAATCAGCATTACTGAAACACATGCTTTAAAAAAAATCGTAACAGGACTTCTGGCTTAACAGTGGATTAGGGAGAGTTGCTGTGTAGACCTCCACCAGTAATAACACAGAATACCGGACTAAGCAGGTTCAGGGGATGGTCCCCGAACTCTGAACTACATATAAAGGAATATTTAGAAGGCTTGAAGGTTTACTACTAGTGGAAAATGTAGCAGAAGTTAAAAAAAAAAAAAAAGGTAGTATTTTCTGATCTGCGGTTGCCAGCAGGTCCCAGAGGGCCATATTGGGCTTGACAGACCTGAAGGGCAGGGGAGAGCTCCCATTTCAGGGGTCTGGCCAATCGTCAGAGTTAAAGAAAGAAAGGTATGAACATCTTTTTTCTGTTCATTTGTCTCTCTCTCTAGTGACTACAGGGGGTGCCTAAGTGAGTGGACAACCCCCCGCCCCTGGAGGGTTCTACTGCGCACAGATCAGCTCAGAAAAGTCCACTGGGCCCAGAATTGAAGAAGGGGGAGGAGTCAACAGGAACATCTTAAAACGGAAGGGTCACCCAAAATGGCTCAAGCCAGACCTGGGCTGTTTCTCACTAAGAGTAACGCCTGAATGAGCTTGAAGAGATGGAGAGAAACAGACAAAAATGGAAAGAGGCCAAAAATTAAGTCTTGAGTTCCGTAATAAGGATCAATAGTAACATCTTGAAATTTCTCAGGCAGCCTTGAAGGCAACAAGCCAAGAGAGGGGTGTTAAAGTCTTAATCATACTTTGCTACAGGTTTCTTTTTCTTTCTATTTTTTGTTTGCTTGTTTTGTGGTGATTATAGACTTTAGTGTCCAATCTGTTTTTTGGTGTGATGATTTTGTTTTTTGTATTTTTTTTGGTTCCCCTTTTACCTGGGGAGGGCAGGGGGGAGATTTTGATCTTCCTATGTTACCCAAGAAGAAACAGCAATTACTGTCATATACCCAAGCTACAATCGCACCCTTTAAAATCCCACCACGCAGGCAAGAGTCAATACCAACTGCTATACACCAGATAGATAGCCAACACTTGCTAAAATTACTCTGAGTTGAGTAATAAGAGAAGTAAAAAGGGAGCCCATATTTTGATCACATCTACCTGGGGGTAATCTCAGAAAGATTAATAATACACCAACATTCATCTAAGCATTGAAAACATATCTAATTATTGAAAATGCCCCCAAAATAACAGAAGATTTCAGCACATGTCCAGAAACAAGAGGGAGTAGTTGAAACAAATGAGCTGGAGGTAGACCTAGACTTCCCATTAGAAAGAGGGCAGGCTTTGGAACTGATATTGAAGTGAATCCAATTGCTCCACCAAGGGGTTGAGAAAAACAAAGAAGTCAGGAAAGCACTACAGGAACAATTGAATAAGATAGAAATGGCATTGGAAACAATTCAACACCTGCAAAAAAAAAAAAAACAATCAGTCCAAATAATTAACAATAAAATATCAGAAATGGACAATAGGACAATACACTGAACGGGCAAAGGAGCAGAATTGAAGAGATGGAAGGCAGAACCAGTGAGCTGCAAGACAAATCTCTTAATACTGCAAGCAGAAAAAAGAATTAAAAAATCTGAAGAGAGTGTAAGATTCATGTGGGACAACATATAGAAGAATAACCTGAGGATTACTGGAATTCTGGAACAGCAAGGATCATAGAAGACCACAGAGGAGACAGTTGGAGAACTGCTGGAAGAAATTTCCCTAATAGACGTCTTCCCTAAAGATGAAAAGATATGCGTTCAAGAAGCTGAATGAATCCCACAAAGGATAGACCCCAAAAGAAAATCACTAAGACATATCATAATCAAGCTCTCCAAAAGCAAAAACAGGAGAGAATCCTGAAAGCCGCTAGGGGAAGGAGAAGTGTTACTTAAAAAGGCAAGCAAATAACATTAAGCTCTGATCTCTCAGCAGAAACCATGCAGGCAAGAAAGAATTGGGGAGACATACATAAAACCCTGAAGGAAAAAAAACTGCCAATTAACAATCATCTGCCCAGCAAAGCTTTCAATTAAATATGATGGTGTAATAAAACATTCCAGTATAAACAGAAGCTAAGGGACTTTGTCAAAGCCAACCCAAAACTTCAAAACATCCTAAAGGGAGTGCTTTTGACTGAGAACCAACAAGAACAGACAACCAGAGATTGACATATGTGGTAGCACTACCCGGAACTTAATCGACAGATGGAGGAGTCTAGAACAGAAAAAACTACAAGAACAAATTCAGAGGATCTGGGAGGTGAGTCCATGATCAAAACAATTACAATGTGAAAGCAAGGAAAAATACAGGAACAGAGATCCAGGTGACAAGGAGGTCAGGTAGATTTCAGGATAAAATAGACTGTTTTAAATGGAGAAAAAAAGTTAATAGAATATAGAGCACAGGTTAGGGGATAGACATATTATAATTCAGGTGTTGGGGATGGCATTACACAAGAAGGGGAGGGGAATGGAAGAACAAGGTAGACAGGGGAACATTTAGATAGGTTTTCAGGAGCGAAATGGGAGAGGTAAATAGTGATGTATGCTCAACCTTGGAACTACTTGAGGGGGAGAGAAAGGAATATCAGGAAACATGATTACAGAAATCTTGTAAGTCTGTTTTCAGTCTATAACTGATTGGAATACCTAAAAGGGGTTCTAGAACTTGCCCAGTGAAATAGGTTTCCTGTGGAAACCTGTACTGTATAGGACCTTAGGTGGAATACTGATCCCCATACAGAATCTTCTGAGGTGGGACATTCCCACTTGAAAGTACATGCAAACCAGGCTGCAGCAGCTAGAGGAACAGAAGATACTTCCTGAAAGAAAGACCAGCAGAAAAACAAAAACAAAATAAAAAACAAAAGCAAGCAAGCTGTTTGCCAGGTAGCCATTAAGGCAAGCAATCAAGCCCCTCCAGGACAAACCTCAATCTAAGACTGAAAATCAAAGGGAACAGATGAGCAGGCATATGAGCTCACTGGTGACCACATTGGTCTACATTTGAATGGCAGTGGGGAAAAGTCAGTAATGAAGATATGGGCTGAGTTTGACCACGTTCCATAGACTCCTGTCGACCTCGAGATGAGAGAGAGAAGAGGAAGGGCTGCTTGGTCCCAAGTTTGGGGAGACTTGGGAACTCCAGAGCTCACGGGCACTGACCAAGCCAGGGAGGGCTAGAGCTGAGAGCGAAGCATACAACTGATATAAAGTATGTATGGGGAGACACACAAGAACACCCAAATTTGCAGGTATTGCAGGTAGTGCCCATTTAACCTAGCTTCGATGGCTTGATGACCAGAGCTCGACTATAGGAAGACACAGAAATTTGATAAAGGAAGCAAGTGTAAATTGCTACATTTTGATGAGCTTGATCTATACTTATGGATGTAGCTCAAAATACCAACTTAGAGGGAAGGAGTCTTCACATCATCATGGATCAAACCTATCCCCTCTGTATACAGGGTTGATAGGGATGGGCAAATTAGACATTGGCTACCTAAAAATGGGGCGGGGGGAGCTATAAAAGCACGAAGTGGCTGGCTTACAAGTTTTCAAGAGGGAGTTTAATTTCAGAGTGTGCAGGGAAGGTAGACTCTCCACTGAATAGTTTTCATCCTGTCTAGATGGGTCTGGTGAAAGGAAATGGTTATGAGTCTTGTGATTCAATAATAATTGTTATCATTATTAATTGTGAGCCTCACAACCGTTAAGGTAGAAGTTTTATAACATAAAGGAGGGAGTAGTTAATCTTACATTCCAGGAACAGAGGACCCTAGGACCATCAAGGGAGAAGAGTATGAGCAGAAGAGAAGCAGTGACACCAGAGATGGAGGCAGAGATGATGACATGGAGAGATGGAGCAGCTGAGGACTCTATAGACTCATGGAAAGAGAAAGGCTGTGTGCTGGCGGCCAGAAGGCAGGCTTGCAGAATGAGCCCTTTGGTTGTTTAAATGATTATATATTCCTGAGTGCTTCTGTGTACATCAAAAATAAATAAAAAGAATTTCCCCAAAACAAAAAAACCCAACCACCTAAAAAACATAGGGAATAGAAGCAAATACTGTTAAATGATGATGCATGGACGGGATTGTAATCATTGTAATGAAACAAAATACGATAGGATGAGTGCAAAACTGATGTTCTCCCATGTAAACTATTACTCAATTCACAATGAAAGCTTAAAAAAACACCCCCCTCCAACACACAAAAAAAAACCATTTAATAACAACAAAAAATCATTGGGGAAAAATATAAAATGTTCTAGATTTTGATATTCATTTCTCATTTTATTAGAATCAGAATATTTACATCATTTCTACTTTTGAAAGTCTTGAAGGCTTTCTTTATAGTGCAATAAAATGTGAATGTTAAAAAAATGATTTGTTCTGTAAACCTTCATTAAAGTCACAATAAAAAAATCCTAATAATCTGCTGTTGTTATTAAGTGCCATTGAGTTGGTTCTGACTCATAGCGACCCTGTTTATTATTTCGAAGGAATGACTGGTGAGTTTGAACCGATGACCTTGTAGTTCAAACTGACCTTGAGGTCGAGTGCTTATCCTAAAGCTACACATCAGGACTCCAATAATCCGTAATCCTCCTTAAATAAACAAGTAGATGTCTTGCTACTCTGGGAAAACAGAGTCGCACATTTAACTTGTTTTAAATCTCAAAACAAGGGTTGTTGTTAAGTGCCATCAAGTTGGTTCTGATTCATAAAGACCCTATATAGGGTTTCCAAGGAGTAGATGGTGGGTTTGAACTGCCAACTTTGTGGTTAGCAGTCCAGTGCTTATCCTACAGTACCATACCAGGACACCAACAAGTAGCAAAATTTTAAATGCCCTAGTTTAACTACTAAGTTTAAATATTCAATGTCTTAGTATCCTTATTTATTATTGATTTGTATATTTCAAAAAGCATACTTACCACATGCAATTGACCAGTAAATTTGAGAATCTGGTGTTTGGTGTAGAATGCGAAATGGAGCTACTTTAGCAGTAGAATCTAAGACTGAATCAAGAGTTCCAACCAGAAGCCCTGTGGAAAGAGATGGTTGAAATAAGGATTTTATAAGAACTACATAAAAATCAGTATCACATCATGGGAGAACCAATTAATGCATTTATCTTTTGTTTTGTTTCATTTTATTTTGAAGCTTTTATGAATTGAGTGAGTGAAGGTTTACAGGGCAGATCATCAGTTTTACATTCAGCAGATCATTGTTGTTGTTGTCAGGTGCCATCGAGTCGGAACCGACTCATAGTGACCCCATGCACAGCAGAATGAAACAATGTCCGATCTTGAGCCAACCTCACTACCGCTGCCACACTTGACGCCATCAATGATGCCACCTGGCTGATCTATCTCGTTAGGGGTCTTCCTCTTTTTCTTTGACCCTCCACCTTACCCAGCATGACATCCTTCTCCAGTGACTGTTTCCTCCGGACAATATGTCCAAAGTATGAGAGACGAAGCTTAGTATCAGCAGATCATTACAATGACTAAAATCCCTTCCAGACATCTTTAGATAACAGTATTTACCTCTATTACTTTTTTTTTTTTGATGTACACATACCACATTGAAAATATATATTCGTTTAAATGTCCAAAGGGCATATAGCCCTCTGTTGCTCTGTCTCTCTATAATGCATTTATTGTAAATTACTATTTTTGTTCAAAGAGTCCCTACAGAGATTTGTTTTCCTAAAGAAAACACAAACAAGCAGAAAAAACATTCTGAATGAAGTATGCCTATGTGAGTGGTGGTGGTAGTTATGTACTGTTGAGTTGGTTCCGACTCATAGTGACTCTGTATTGGGTTTCCAAGACTGCAATCTTCACACGAGTAAAAAGCCTCATCTTTCTCCTGTGGAGCAGCTGGTGGATTTGAATTGCTGACCTTTTGGTTAGTAGGCCAACATGTAACCCACTATGCCACCAGAGCTTGCCTATGCAAACAGTGTTTGAGAAATTTATCTTTCAGTAAGGATAAGGCTGTCTCGATTATTCAAATCTCACAATATATCTGCAACACTTATATATTTGCTTTATATGGCTGTGTGTATAGCAAATGAAAATGTGGACTCTAGTACTCAGAATATAAGTAGCTTGGTATATGTGAGATAAGACGTTATTACCGGCATGTTACTGTTGTTGTTAAGTACCGTGGAGTCATTTCTGACTTATAGTGACCCTGTACAGGGTTTCCAAGGCTGTAAATCTTTACGGGAGTAGAAAGCCTCTCTTTCTCCGGTGGAAGAGCTGGTGGTTTTGAACTGCCGACCTTGAGGCTAGCAGCCTGATTCATAAACCACTATGCTACCAGAGCTCCTTACTGTTGTTGTTAGATGTCATTAATTTAGCCCCCAACTAATTGTGATGTCCAAGGAGCTCTGGTAGCGTAGTGGTTACGAATCAGGCTGCGAACCGCAGGGTCAGCAGTTCGAAATCACCAGCCATTCCGTGGGAGAAAGATGAGGCTTTCTACTCCCATAAAGATTCACAGCCTCGGAAACCCTGTACAGGGTCGCTATGAGTTGGAACTGACTCCATGGCACATAACAACAACAATGGTGATGTCCATGCACAATGAAAGGAAATGCTACCTGGTCCTGTATCACCCCCATGTTCAGTTGCAGACTGCATTATTGTGATCCATAGAGTTTCCATTGTCTTATTTTAGGAAGTAGATCACCCAGCCTTTCTCCCTAGATTGACTTAGTCTGGAAGCTCTGCTAAAACCTGTTCAGCATCATAGCAACACAAGGCACATGACTGGAAATGTCTCTAACATGGGGGGTGAGAATTTCACCACGGCCCCATAAGCAGATTACATTCATCTCTTAAAAGGCAGAATTGGTTTGGGTCAAAAAGAAATTACAAGGATAGAGGTGGGTAAATAAGAAGGGGAGATGGAACAAAGAGATACAGAGAAATGTGCTTTAGTTGTCAAGAACTGTTGAGTCAGTTCTGACTCATAGTGTCCTGTAGAGAATGTCCAAGGAGCAGCTGGTGCATCTGATCTGCTGACCTTGTAGTTAACAGTCCAGTGCTTAAACAAATAAAAGGAAAAGGAGCTGTCCAAAATGCAGCATCTAATATCAATTAGCAATCTGACAGGGTATAGATAGTGGGGAAAAAGAAGAAAGAAAGAAAATTTTGGCAATAGCAATGAGTGCAAATTAGAGAGGAAAGAAGCTATCTGATATGAATTAAAAACAACAACAACAACTAGGGTATGGATGGAAGATTTTGTTTAAGAACTAGAAATCACATAACGCAGTGCACAGGCAGGATTGTCTCTAGCTAACCCTACTTGCAGTGCAAATCAGTCTAAGGAGGCTGAGATCATCTACCTCTGATGCTCAATAAATGATGCATAATAAATCCCACTCTACAGGCCAACTGAGTCCTGCAGAAATCTTAGCTTCCCTTTCTTGGTCAGTTCAGAACCCAGGTGCTTGCTCCAAATGTCCCTTTCTCTCTCATCCCCATTTACCCAGGGTTAGGTCAGCAGGTACCAGCCCTTTCTCTGTTTCTTAGGTTGGATAATTCAATGGAATGACTCACAAATTCCAGGGGAAGGGTTATTTTTAATCTTTAATAAAACATGATACAAACACAGAGGTAGAGGGCAAGGTCTGGTAGGGATCTTGGCTCAGTTTCCATGTCTCCAGGGAGCACGCTTACCCTCCCTCTCCCAACCCAGAAAGCTCCACTAAGCTTCCATCTATCAAGGTTTTTACTGGCCTCCCCAAGTGACCAGGATAGATTGCATCATTTCTCCAGAGGCATATATGAGTCAGCATCAGGCCCTCAGGTGCTTCCTCTGGTTCTGGTGAGTCCCCCCTCCCCCTACTCATTGGCCTCAGGTGTTGTGCAACTCACAGGAATCAAGACCAAAGGTCAAATTGTTTACTGCAAGGGGGTTATATACCTCATACAAGTCAGCGATTCTGAATGTGAAGATCTTGTAGGAAATAGAATAGAAATGAGGAGGAGGAACACAGAAAATAATTATACTTCAAGTAATAAAGATGGAATTACTGGAGAGTTTGGGAATAAAAGGAGTAAAATTTTATCATGTTCAAAGTGACATAATAACTGAGAAATTAGGAGATTTGACTAAGAGGTCAAGGAAAAGGAAAGAAAAGTGGGGGCTTAACATATACAAATAGTGTCTTAAAGAGTGGTATGATTGAAATTACTCAGGAAATGGAAAAAAGACAAGGAGAATGTTCTCAGTTTGAAGGCAGGAGAGAGAAAATGTTCCAAAAGTAAGTTAAGAGTGAGAGCAAAAGGCAATCAACAGGGAGGGTAGATTACATCTTAGTGGGTATACATATATTAACCTGAGCAAAAAAGGATGGAAGCAGGAGAAGACACAGAGGAGTACAAGAGTTAAAGGCATCAGGGGTAAATACTGCTTTATATACAATCCCACAATAACAGTGATCAGAGAGTAAATGCATGGATAGACATGCAGGATGAACAGGTGTGGGAAGGGGAGCAGCAGTATACTCACAAATACAGGTTTGACAGAATAATTTTGCACATGGGTATTTACTTTTGCTGCAAATATATCCATGAATGTGGTGGTGCATACAGGGGGCAAAATCATAAAAACATCTTAGACATAACCAAGCACCTTGAGGGAATGTGTTGCTGGACTTGGGGGCTCAGGACCATGGTCTCAGAGGATACCAAGTTCAATTGGCGCTACACACTTTGCAATGCCAATGTTCACCATCCTCCTTTGGTGAATAGCAACTGGGGTTTTAAAAGCTCATGAGTGACCATCTAAGATGAAACTATTGATTTTCTCTGTGTGGAGGAAAGACGACTAGTGAAAATTGACAATGCCTGGAAACAATTTGTCTAATGGACTAATGGAACACATGAATGTTAGTCTCCACCACTATGAGACCAGGCAAACTAGATGGTGCCTGGCACTAGGCAACTCCTCTGAAAGGGATATTAGAAGGTCCTGGCTAGAGTAGAAGAAAAATGTGAAACGAAACTCAAAATCATTAAGAAAAAAGAAAAGAAAAAAAAAAAGGACCAGGCTTACTGATCAGATAAAGAGTGGTTAGATCCCCAAGACTATGGCCCTTAGTCACCCTTTAGGTCTGGAAATGAATTCACCCCCATAGCTCAATTCTGAGCCAAACAATAGTTATAAATATGGAACAATAGCACTAAGGAGGTATATACATCTTAGAATAATCAACCATTTGAGATCAAAATGGCAGCATTTACCCAGAAAAAGTTCAGAAAGGAGGATAACTGGAAATAGGAAACGCAGGGAGGAAGTAGGATAAGTGACGTTACATTGTGGGGATTACAATTAATGACATGAAACAAAATATGTATTAATTAATTGTTGAATGGAAAACAGATTTTCTCTGTAAACCTTCACCAATTTCACACACAAAAAAATATTTTCAAATCTGGGCGCAAAACAATTTATTTCACCTTCCAACCTCAAAATATGTTTTATCCAAATTGATTCTTAATTATATCAACTGTAGGGACAGAGTAGAACTGCCTCATAGGGTTTCCAAGGTTAGGATCTGTAAGAAGATAGACAGCTAAGTCTTTCTCCTATGAAGCATTAGGTAGGTTCAAACCACAGATCTTTTGACTAACAGCTGAGTGCTTACTTACTGCACTACCAGGACCCCTTCATTTCACCTTTGTTGTTGTTGTTGTTAAGTGCCGTTGAGTCTGTTCCGACCCATAGCGACCCTGAATAGGGTTTCCGAGGAGTGGCTGGGAGCTTGACCCACTGACCTTGCGGTTCAAACTGACTTTGTAGTCCAGTGCATCAACCCACAGGGCCACACCACCTTTACACCACTTTTAAAATAAAACTATCTAAATCCTATTTCCTTATTTACATACACTAGAAAAGGTAGTAAGTATTAGGAGAATGGGAGTAAGAATATAGAGGTAAAGAAAAGACTGGTTCAGCTGAAAACTAACAGTGGGCATGTGGATGTATAAGGTGGCAGGGTGGAAAGAAGAAGGAGTCCATT